TGGTTTGTTGAAATTGGTAGCTTTGTATTATTGTTTAACTGTACAAATCCACTTATTAGTTTATCATAATGAAAATCCTCATTATGAACTTCATCTGGAAAATTATAATTCTGAATAATTATGTCTCTTGACAAATATGAAGGAGCCAATTCATCATCAGAAACATGAGTAGCTGTTGGGAATGTTTCATTTATAGTATTTTGTGTCAGAGTTAAAGCTTGTTTTGCTTGTCTTGAAAAGCTTTTTATATAAGGATTTTTTTCAGCTAACCAATCTGCTGCACTCTTTAAGTTTTCATCAAAGATCAATTCATTAGAAACATGATTATTATTGGAAGGTTCTAGAAATGCTCCAACTGTCCCTGTATATAATGATAATGCACGTATGTTGCATGAATAACCCATAGCCCCAACTAAGTTTCTATATTCTGAAAAAGGATTGCTTCCTGGGGTTCTTCCTAAAGAACAATGAATATATGCTGGTGAAAGATATTTTCGTTTATGTAAAGGAACCAGTTCAATTTCAGTAGGAATTGGACAAAGATGAGGTATATTTTTGTGATTTTTTTGACTATGGCAAGATTTACATATGGGAACTTCTTTTGGTTTTGTATTTAGACGAAACTCCAAATGAAAATTATCAAAAGCCTCTTCAATTGGATATTTTATTTCTTGATTATAAACAATCCATTTTGCTTTCTCTGGATATAATAATCTAGCACAATATACACATGCCAGACTTGGATATTGTTTAAGAATCTTTTCTTGAAATTTTTTTAATACTTGTTTAAATCTATTTGTTAAAATCCAAGGTTTTATGTGTATAAATAAAGTTTATATCATTTATTGAATAGACAGAATTAACCAAGTTGTTTCTGTTTATTTGATTAATAGCAGAGTTTTGATTTTCAAAAAGATTTTGAATATGTGTATTATTTATTGAAAATTCATTTATACATTCTTCTGGTATATTTACTTCAAATATATTGTATAAATGATAATGATTCATCTTTATAGTTAAAAATAAATTTATTTTAATTATGGTTTTTTTTAAATTTTTTTTCTTCAGAATTCAAATACTTTATATATCAAATTTTATATATATAAAAAAATCTCACGCGTGCATTTTTTTTTGTTTGTTAAAATTAGAAATTAGCTTTTTTTTATTTTTTTTATTTTTTTAGTATCTAAATTTCGGTTATATAGTAAATTTAAATAAAATTAAAAAAAAAACAAATTTTTTTTTTACAAATAAATGTAAAAATAAGAATAATGTAATAAACGGACAAATTTAATAGAATTCATATTCATCATTTTTTTCATTTTTTTCATTTTTTTTTGATTGTTGTGTAACAAATTTTTTTTTTGTATTACATAGGCAACCCCGTTAATCCGAACCCCGTTAATCCGAAAACCCCGTTAAAACGAATAATTTTTAAAACACCAAAGCCAAACATATGTAAATTACCCCGTTAATCCGAATGTCACTAATATAGCTCTATA